AATACATAAAAAATAAATTAAAAGAACGGGTTTTTAACATTGTTTAATTATATAAACCAAACAAAAAATGGAAATAGAGGAGAGAAGAAAATTAAAATAAGAATAGAAAATACTTATAGAAAAATATTTTCTTAGAGAGATCAAATTCAGTATTTAACACTGTCTCTTTAAGACAAATTCGTCCTCTCTCTAAGAATTCGGGGAGGGCCGTGGCCCCTGATAGCCCCTACGTCAGTTTGTCCCTGTCTACAGTAAGCCTGAACTTAGTAACATTACATTCATAATTTCTTTAAGGGTTCTATTCTTTCTTTTAATAATTTCATTTTGTTGTGAAGAATAGGGTGCTGTAGTTTAGTGAATAATGCCATATTGTGCACAAAATTCATGTAAAGAAACATCATATTCACCATGCCTATCACTTCTAACCATTTTAATGGTTTTACCAAGTTGATTTTCAAGTTCAGTTTTATAGAGTTTAAACATTTCCAAAGTTTCATCTTTACTTCTAAGTAAACATACATAACAATTTCTTGTGCAATCATCAATAAATATTATGAAATACTTTTTTCCTCCTCTAGTTTGAACAAATTTAAGATCACACACATCAATATGAATTAATTCTAGAGGTTTGATTTTTCTTTCAATCGAGTTAAATAGAACCTTAGTTAGTTTTGCTTCTCCACATATCTCACATTTGTGATTAGGATAAATTCCAAACTTTGGTATACAATCCAAACCAATTAGTCTACATAAAGCATCAAAATCCACATGTCTTGATATACCATGCCATAAATTTGACTCAAAAATATAAGCAAAAGATGTGTTATTCTTATTAATAACAGATTTCGGAAGAACAGTCATTACATTCAACTTGAAAAGATCATCGCTCACGTATCCCTTACCCACATACATACCACTCTTTGTTAATACAAACTTATTAGACTCAAATACAAACCTAAAGCCATTTTTACTTAACAAAGAACCAGAAACTAAATTCTTTCGGATGTCTGGTACACGTAACATTATTGAGGGTAAGTTCCTTCCCCGATGTCATCTTCAAGATAGCTTTCCCTTCTCCAGCCATAGTAGAAGTAGATGAATTTTTCATGAATAGTTGTTCACCATTTGTAGCCTCATTATAAGTAGTGAACATCTTTTTGTCCACGCAAATATGTCAAGTTGCTCTAGTGTTAACCCATCATTCTTTGGGATTTCCAACCAAATTAGCTTCAGTCACCACAACAGAATGATTGATGTCATTTACCCCATCAGAGATGTAATCAAGTTTTGTCAAATTGGCTTGATTGATAGTCTTTTTGCTTGTACTTCCGAGATCTTTCTTAGGGCATCTGCAATTAGAGGCACAATGCCCAATCTTGCCACAATTATAGGAATTTCCTTTAACTTTTTATTGCCATTGTTATTATTGGTATTTTTCCATGATAATACTAGAAAAATATATGAAATAAATTAAATAGAAATGACAAAACAATTATTATTATTATTTTTATTATTAAAGAATGAAATATACAATAAATTACCCTAAAAATGAGGGGGTTTGGGGTTTAAATATTTAGAAATCTGGAATAAAGCTACCATTGCCAAGCACATTTGGTTTCTCTTTTTCTGGTGGTGAACAATCAATGTGGTGTCAATGGGTTAAATCTTACTTGCTTAAAGGCAAGAGCTTTTGGAGGGATAAAATAGATAGTGCTCCTTCTTGGGTTTGGAGGAAGATTCTTTCCCTTAGACCTATCATTTACCCTCTGATTAAGCACTGTGTTGGGAATGGGGAAATGATTTTCTTGTGGTTTGATAATTGCATCCCCTTAGGTCTCTGTGGGCTAAGTTTGGGGACCGTATTATTGATGACTCTGCCCTTGGCATGGAGTCTAAGGTCAAAGATATTGTTGATAATACTAGTTGGAAATGGCCAGCTGCTTCCTCTTGGGCTTTGAAGGAATTGATTAAGAGCACTCCTTCTAATCTCCATCCCAATAATGGCCTAGATTCTGTCAGATGGCTTCCCTCCTCTGATGGGTAATTTTCTATCACTTCCACTTGGAATTATTTGAGAAAGTCTGGGGATAGAATATCCTGGGCTGCCATTCTCTAGGGCCCCCATAATATCCCCAAGGCTAGTTTTGTAACTTGGATGGCAATCCTTGGTAGATTGAATACTGGGGATAGACCGAGATTGTTTGGCCTTTCTCAATCTGCCAAATGTGTATTTCGCAAGGACTCATCATCTGTTTTTTGATTGCCTTTTTCTCTTCTAGAATCTGGACTTGTATTCAATCTAAGTTGAATGTCTCTTGGCCTATTCTTCAATGGCCTGGTATTACTCAGCTTGTGGCTCTATCTGCTAAAGGTAAATCTATTAGAGCTATTATTGTCAAACTGGCCTTCACTTGCACTGTATATCAACTGTGGATTGCTAGAAATAATAGAATTTTCAGAAAAGAGATGATTCCTGAGAAGGTTATTATTAAATGCATTGTGGATATGATTAGATTTCGTATGATGTCTATGACTAATATTACAAGGCATTCAAGTGATAGCTGGTTCCTGAATTCTTGGAGGCTTCCCCACACCATTCTGAAGACCAGACAGCCTTTGAGTGATGGGAGTTCAGTACATGTGGGTTGAGTGAAGGCGAGCATAAATCTGAGGGGTTATCTAATTTTTTTGGCTATTTTTTGCAGGAAATTGGGCTGTTCTATGTCTGCATTGAGAGGGTGAAATTACCTTATCTGAGGGTTGAGTGTTTATGAGCTATATACACTTCCTAACCATCATCCATGGCCACATTGAGTGCTAACAATTATTTTTTCCTATTGTTCTGTTTCTTTGCAAGTTGTATGGAAAGGATATGTTTTGAGTGTTGTGAGATCCGATATAGTGGGCCGAGTGTTGTGAGAATATATATTGTGTGTTTGTGGAAATATACAGTCACTGATGTGTATTTTCTGCTGTTGTATAGCTGGCACTTCTGGAACTTAAGTAACTGTCTATCTTCGGCAGGGTCTGCTAAATTCTGGACGATGGCGGCAAGGAGGGGGATGGCTGCTTTAGGCGCCTCAAGCATGAAGAAAGTTTTTAGTTAAATTGTATATATCCGTTGAATCCGATATACTATGGTTCTATTGTTTGGGTGGAGATTTTGAAATTCTTTTGTTGGCCTACCCATACAAGCTGTGTAAGGGATAGTCCCTTTTTGTCTCCCTTTTGTATCAGTTTTTGTGCTTATGGAATGTGTTCATGATCCAGATATAGTTTGTATGGGGAGCCTGAACATATTTAAGGTATCAAATATGTTGTGTAGGAGTTTGTCTACCTACCTGTGATTTAATTCTTAGTTATTTAATTGTTCGGTTTTTCTTATTCTCCAGTTAATAGCTTTGGATTTTTCAAGTTCTTTTTTCTTGGTTTTGTTTGTGAGATGTTCTTGTCTCATCTAGTTCTCTGTTGGCCTGCCTCTTTAGGCTGTTTTAGGCTGGTTGTTCTTGTTTGTTTTGTTGGGGTTAGGACCTGGGGCATGCCCCTTGTATTTGTGTATATTTTCTGTTTTTAATTTATGACTTATTCACCCAAAAAAAAAAAAAACATATTTCGATTATTTTTTTGTGCATTTTTTCAGTAAAAATGACATAATATAACTTCTAATAGTGCTTAGTATAAAAATAACCAATATTTGTATTTAAATTGTATATATCCGTTGAATCCGATATACTATGGTTCTATTGTTTGGGTGGAGATTTTGAAATTCTTTTGTTGGCCTACCCTTACAGGCTGTGTAAGGGATAGTCCCTTTTTGTCTCCCTTTTGTATCAGTTTTTGTGCTTATGGAATGTGTTCATGATCCACATATAGTTTGTATGGGGAGCCTGAACATATTTAAGGTATCAAATATGTTGTGTAGGAGTTTGTCTACCTACCTGTGATTTAATTCTTAGTTATTTAATTGTTTGGTCTTTCTTATCCTCCAGTTAATAGCTTTGGATTTTTCAAGTTCTTTTTTCTTGGTTTTGTTTGTGAGATGTTCTTGTCTCGTCTTGTTCTCTGTTGGCCTGCCTCTTTAGGCTGTTTTAGGCTGGTTGTTCTTGTTTGTTTTGTTGGGGTTAGGGCCTAGGGCATGCCCCTTGTATTTGTGTATATTTTTTGTTTTTAATTTATGACTTATTCACCCAAAAAAAAAAAACATATTTCGATTTTTTTTTCTGCATTTTTTCAGTAAAAATGACATAATATAACTTCTAATAGTGCTTAGTATAAAAATAACCAATACATATACATAATTTGTTGTTATTTTGAGAATTATAAAGTTTTTAATAAAATTCAATCAAATTTAATCAGACCCAACATGTTTTTAACATTTTACCTTTTACCTTTTAAAGTGCTTTAGGTTTCAAAATAAAGGAGTCCAATTAATTTTTTCTTATTATTAGATCATGGTTATTTGTAAACATATATATATATATATATATATGCTTATGAAATATCTATATCGTTGTTAATTAAAAATTTATCTTTATTTACTTTATTTGTTAAAAATGGTTGATAAGCAAAATCTACAAAAGGGAAAAGGTAATATCATAACCTTATATGGGAACCTATGTTAACTTATTACCTATTAGATCACGTGGTTATCATTCAAAATAATATTTTCATTGATTTAAATATAAATATTTTATATTTATAAGATACATTTAACATCCAAATATGTTGATATACTTTTCCAAGTGATTTAGAAAAAGCGACCGAATCTTTACGATTCACAATTCTATTCGATTCACGATTTGAATCCTAATTTGACAACTATGCCGGTACCCGGTAAATACCCGGTACGGGTATGGGTACGGCATGTTTATCGAAGTACCTATGCTTGGTAGATGATAAACAATAGAGTAATGCTAGGACCCCAAATGTTTTACCAATGTAGGTCCCACACCCATGTGAAACATTTGGTAAAACATTTGGAGTCCCTAGCATTTTTCTAAACAATATGCACACAACTATATATATATACACACCCATATATGTGAATGTATACGCACCAAATGGTTCTTATCTTGAGCACAATTGGCTCCCAGCCCTGCCAAAGTTTCACAGCCTTCCAAATTTTGCAGAACATCTTTGTTTTCTGTTGAGGTTGAAGGGTCAAGGGTGGAACGCAGACCATTGGTACTCAGGTCCTTCTTCATCAGTATTTCAATATCTTCAGCCTGTGATTGTGTCTCACGAGAAACATACTGTGCATAACATAAGCATCACACATGCAATAGAAAGTTAGACATGCATTACAAGTGCAGAAAGTTTTATTCTAAGTACAGACACAAAGACATGATACGATACGAGCATGTAAATTTTCAAAAAATGCATGAAACGACACATTGAGGACACGTTTAAAATAATTTATATATTTATTATGTGTCACATATGTAAATATTTTATATTTATTTTATGTTAAATACTTAATTCATCAACTTCTAGATATGCTATTTTAGTAAAAAAATTTATATGTGTCTACATCCCCAATCTATCCCAAGTGTCCCAGCATGTCCGACACTGATCCAGAACATGCCCAGCATGTGTTCCTGTACATGACCTTCGGAGAGATGTCCATGCTTCATCGGTTTATTAAGATTAGGGTCAAGGTTCAACCAGCTCTGTAATCTTACTTTGCAAATGATGGCTTGATATTATGATTGCATTAATGCATAGTTTAAAATGACGGTGGGATGAGTGCATCACCAGCCAGCTTGAGAAAACCATTGCAGAAAATAAGTCGTCGTCCTTTATTTTAGGATTTTTTTTTATTTTTTATTTTTATGCTCATAATTGTATAGTGGTATCCTGGAACAATATTCCATATTTACCAAGTCATGGAGAAAGATGATAGAGACAGTACTCACTTCTTTGAGGCTTTCGACAGAAAAGCATGGTCGGCAACAGAGGTACAGCTGCTTCGAACTTCCCGTGCTTTGTTTGTCCAAAGAAATAAGCATGAGATGAACATCTAACTGCAAATAAAAAGAAAATTTGCAAACAATGTAAAGCCACAAACAGAAATCACAAATGTAATCTACACAGTTATTGAAACATGAGAACTAAATGAAGATGTTATGGCATCAAAACTGAAGTATTCAAGACAACTTTCTGGATGACATACTGTTCACTCTCAGGTAACCTAAACTCTGACTAAGCAAGGATTCAACAATCTAGCTATACCTCATCATTCTCCTTCGCATTTTCGAGGTATTTAGTCAGCTTCATTATGCGGGTGTTCCGGACACTCTTGCTCCGAGCACCACCTCCGCCCCAAGCAAGCATTTCTGTGCTCCGCACAAGCCCAGAAGTACCTTTGCTCTCTCTGCTTGCTTCTAAGTCATTTTCATTGCCTCCACCATCTGAATTTGCAGCTGATGGAGAAGGCTGGGAGGACTGTGCTCCTGCCTTTCTCTTGTACCTCCTCTGCTTAATTTCTGTTGACCGCTCATCAGTCGAAGATGAATCTTTGTTCGCATCATGATTATTTTCATCTTCATTGTCATCAGATCCTTCACGCTCAGTTCCCCTGGTGTTTCTTCTTCTTCTAGAATATTTGCGTGGTAATCTAGAACCTGATGTAGATTCTATATCTTTACCTGTTTTGCGCTTAGTTATCAGTGCTTCAGATTGTCGACGAAAAATCTGGGCAATTGATGCCTGAATCTGTACAAAAATATATTGAAGTAACAAACCAGGAACAAGAATGAAAATATACAGTATGCTAATGCACCCTAACCCAACGCGAGGAATTCAAACACAAAAACACACACACAAACACAAAAAAGCAGTCGATTTGTTGCTCAAGCCATTTACGAAAAGGAAAACTTAGCCTATTCTCTATGGAACGTGTCAATAAAATTCCCAAACAAAATAAACATATAACATTCATCATAGAGATGGCAAATTAGATTAAAGGATCACTGTATTTTATTATTATTATTTTATTTTTTTTCACAAGATTCCTTCATATGAAATAATGGTCAAGTATATATGGGTTGCAATTGAAATATATATATATATATAGAGAGAGAGAGAGAGAGAGAGAGAAACTTGAGTTGCCAATCCCAGATGTGATGGACAAATGATCAAATGCTCTAGAGTCTATGACCTGATGGCCCTCGAGGCCTAGGACAACGTAACCATTAATATAAATCAAGTTCACAATTCAAGCACCAATGATGTTGATCAAAGAAGCACCGACACGTGACATGACATGGGACACACAATTTTTTTTTAAAAATGCAGGATGCGACATGTTGGGTACACGTGCAAAACATCGAACTTTATATATTTATTATTATCCGTCATATTTTTTAATATTATATTTTTATTTAAATCAAATATTAAAGTTCATCAAATTCATCAACCTTGAATATGCTATTTCAATAAATAAAAAAAAGCAAGAAAAATATTTTTTTTTATTAAAAAAGGGTCCCAGCATGTCGTTAGTGTGTCCCTAGTGTGTCTGCAACATGTCCGTGGCATGTCCCAGCTAGGGGTGTGCGCAGTGCGGTTTGGCGGTTTGAGAGTAAAATTATAAACCAACCCATGAATGGCGAATAACCAAATTCTTAAATAATTATCGAACATTTGCATAATATTTTTCATATATGTAATGTAAGAATTGATGTATAGAGAAATAGAGAGAATGAATTATGTATATAATGATATATTGAATGTTATTATTGATTTATTGTTCTATGTTTACAATGAGTCCTATATATAGAAGATTAGAGAAGGTAGGTATGTAGTAGGTGGAGTAGTAGGTAAGTAGGTGTGTAGTAGGTGGAGTAGGTGGTAGTAGGTGTAGTGGTAGGTTTTAACAGCCCCCCGCAAACTCAAGGGGGATAGGAACTAACCAACGTGAGTTTGGAGAGAGGAACAAAACAAGAAAATAGACTAATACATAAAATAAAAGAGGATAGGAGACACTGTATGGTCGTGTCAGACCGTTGGTGAAGACACTGGATGGTTGTGTCATAACGTTGTAGAGGACACTGGATGGTTGTGTCATAACGTTGTAGAGGACACTGGATGGTTGTGGCAGACCGTTGTAGCAGATAAAGTCTGGACAGTTGACGAGGTCATGTCAGACCGTTGTAAAAGCTAACCGGAATCAAATGTCGGGAGCAGTTTATGGGGTCATGCCGGACCGGTGGAAAAGCGAACCAGAATCAATGTCGGGACAGTTTTATGGGGTTATGCCGGACCGCTGTAAAATACACTGTAGGATGGTGTATATAGGCTGCCCAAATATATATACATGGATATATATATCGAGCCCTCAAAAGTCGCGCCCTCAAAAGGCGCGCCCACTTCATCAAAAGACGTGCCCGACAGAAAGCGTCGAGCCATCAAAAGGGGCGCCGGACACGCGGCGATGCACGTGACCGACAGAGTGTCGTGGCGTCCTCTTCGGCATTGTCGATATAAACCAAAACGAGGCCTGAGGCTTGGAAGCAGAACAAACCAGTTGAAACCTCTTCGTTCTCTGAGAGCTTGTCTCTAAGAGCTGCAAACCCTGAAACACTCTGTAACATCTGAAACACTCAGCAACCCATAACATGGCCTCTTCTTCCCGTTCAGCTACTCAGAACATGGCCTCTTCTTCCCGTGGCCTGCTCACTCTCTTTCCCGACCTCAACGAGTCCACAAGAGAGATAACTGGTGCGGTTGCCCGTGAACCTCAACCAAGCGCCCCTGAGTTTGCTCCGTTGACCTTTCCTATGCGGTCTGTGGAGCAAAGAATGGCAGCGCAATCAGATATTGAGGCGAATCAGTATACATTGAAGTCATGCGTAGAGACCATGACTGCGGTCACAAACTTGTCGCACCGGCTGCAGAGTAGGACAAATGAGGTGCAGCAGTTAAACGCCCAACTGGCTCTGCTCCAGCGCATGTATAAGGATGCGCGAGCAGAGATATGTGTGCTAAAAGCGGAAAACAAGGAGCTGAAGCGGAAGGCCACCGTTATGTTCCGATTTGGAGATCCGCCATATGCTGCAGTGGAGGAGCAAGGGGGAGTGAACGTGCTCGGCGGCGTAGGAAACACGGAGGCAGCACCGGCAAGGGCCGCCCAGGACGGAGGCTCTTCTTCTTTTTCTTCAACACCAACTGTATCTCCTTTCTACTCCTCTCCCTCAATGGATCCACCGACGCTTACAGAGGCACAAATGTTGCTAAGCCCCGGTTTGGTTTTTGAGTTGGGACTAAATAAGCACATATGGACAAAAAAAAAGCTACAAAATCACAAAATGACAAAACACTTGACTTTTGATGCAAAATTATCAAATTGACCCATATATAAACAAAAAAGTCAAAAAAGCATCATTTCCAAGTAGAGGGCAATTTTGTCATTCCAATGTAAAAAAGTCAAAAAAGCCAAACAAGAAAACCAAACGAATAAAAATGTCCCTCATAAAAAAAATCAAAAAAGTCAAAAAGCTAAGAATCATGTATATCTCAACAAATACATAGTTCACAACCAAGGTTCTGAAAAGCGGTTGCGGTCGCCGTAACGGTGGCGGTGACGAGGTTGCGGTTGCGGGGTGTAAAGGTCGTAGTGTAACGGTTGCGGTAACCGGAACCGTGAATTTTTTTATTTTTCGCACAATTTGAAAAAAACTTACCGATACGCATATTTTTTTTCCATGATCATATTTGTTGGGTTAAAAATAAATATTGATCAATTTTTGTAAATTTTTAAGTATGATCCAATATATTTCATATTTTTAAATCACTATAAACTGATTTTTTTACATTTTATTTTAATAATTAATGACTTTATATTATATAAAAAATCAATCACTAACTATTATATATAAGATAAACAATGACAAAAGTAAAAGAATAAATAAGAGCCTAAATATATATATACATATTTTAACCAAGTCAAATAGATAATAACCACACTTATTATTATTATTATTTTCAAACAATATATAGATAGACACACACAAATAAAATGGTTTAGTGATATCAGCTGAATAGAATAGCATAGGTCTTACAGTTTCAACAAATCAATAACATGTTTTTCATCTTTCCTTTTCTCTCTCTCTATCTCTTGCTCCTCCATTTTCTCTCTTTATCTTCCCTCTTCTCTCTATCCCTCTTCCCCAATTTTCAGCTTTTTTTTGTGTATTTTTTCGGAAGAAACAGTTTGAAACCGTTACGTAACGGTGCGTAACAGGCCATTACGGCTGTTACGGCACCGTTACGACCGCTACGGCAGCCGCTACGACCGGCACACCTGTGAATCTCAATCACACTGCAAAAGCGGCCGTAACGGGTGGCGGTAACCACCAAAACCGTTACGTAACGGCGTTACGTAACGGTTGCGGCCGCTTTTTAAAACCTTGGTTGCACATATAAGTCAAACATTAATACTTCAGGCTTCAAAATACCTTTGATGTATTTTCGAACTTGAAGCCGTAGTCGAATCAATCGATCTGATGGAACCCATCAGATTTAGAGATCGTCATCCAGATCGTGAACTTGTTGGTGTCAGGATGGTCAACCCATTGTGGTCCGGATTTGCAGATCTTCGTTGTACCCATCTCCATCACCTCGGCATCGTTAGGAAGAGTTCGCTAAGCACAACAAAACCAAAGATTGCTGGCTAATTATAGCTGGAAAGGTGTATGATGTCACTCCATTCATGGATGATCATCCCGGAGGTGATGAAGTTTTGCTATCTGCAACTGGAAAAGATGCAACGAACGATTTTGAAGACGTCGGCCACAGCGATTCTGCTAGAGAAATGATGGAAAAGTATTACATTGGTGAAATAGATACATCAACGATCTTGGGCTTGGCATTGGCTGTTCGGAGTTGTTGTGAAGCCTTGGAAGCTGGCATACAGTTGCAGGGATGAGGCCAGTAAGACTATTGTGGGCCACATCCAGCTGCTCCAAGCTCCTCATACGTCCGACGGTAGAAGGCAGTGAACCCTGGAGGTGGTTGAAGCTAACATCAAATTGGTGTGAGAGAGGTCTTGCGAGTTGATGGAGGTCTCAAATGGGTTGAGGTCCGGCGGGCGGTCAAGGCAAAGTTGCCGCCCGCCGGAAGGCGAAGAATACCAAGAGCTTAACCTTGCTCTGATACCATTAAGAATTGATGTATAGGGAAATAGAGAGAATGAATTATGTATATAATGATATATTGAATGTTATTATTGATTTATTGTTCTATGTTTACAATGAGTCCTATATATAGAAGATTAGAGGAGGTAGGTATGTAGTAGGTGGAGTAGTAGGTGGAGTAGGTGGTAGTAGGTAGGTAGGTGTGTAGTAGGTGGAGTAGGTGGTAGTAGGTGTAGTGGTAGGTTTTAACATGTAACACAAACTAATTTTACATAATATTTTTCATATATATAACTACTAATTTGCAATAAATTTTACATCTTAAAACTCTCTCAAACTCATTTTTACTTTGATATTTGATTATATATTTAAATATATATATATATATATATGTATTTCAAAGTTTAATCCGCGGTTAGCGGATGGATCAGTGCAGATCGGTGCGGTTTTATCGGATTGAGCGCTATTTTACACAACCCTAGTTCTAGCATGTCCGAGTCTCTCCAGTGTGTCCAACACTAGTACGTGACCTCCGGAGAGGTGTTCATGCTTCATAGATGTTGATGCCTGAAAATAAACAAAAAAATAATTGCCTACCAAGTTCCACAAGCTACGATGGCCTCTCCATTAAGGCACTTAATTTAGCAGCCAAGCTGATTAGAGAAAAATTCAAACAGTGACAATTTACAATCTAAAATATGGTGTGCTGTGGATGCAGCACCTATTTTACAACACTAGTTGGAATTTTACATGGAGTTCGCAACTCATATGTCTTTGATGATAGTCACAGAAGCTTTTACAATCTAAAATTTGGATAAACAAACAAGGTCAAAGATGGGTGGCATATGGAAGAAGACATTCAGACCCATCATGATGGTTACGGTGTCTATGATTAGGAACCATCACAAGTTTATAAGTGACTGCTGCTCTGTACTCAAAATCCAAATGGTGCAAAAAAACAAACAAGCACGGCAGATGCACATTTGCTAACATAAAGCACTTATCCTCACATCTTACCTGCTTATTGCGAGTCTTTTCCTCTTCATGAAACGCCAGTTCCTGAAATCAGATATTCAGAAAACGACTTAACAACTCTCATTACACAAAATGAAATGTGAATAGCAAAGTACCCAGACCGCATCTTGAATATATTCCTACCTCCTCTTCATATTTCTCAATATCATCATATAAAATGTCAATCAGAGCATCAAATCGTGGATCATCTCTCAAAGAACGTCGACTGGCACAGTGTGTGCGGCAAGCAGGACACTCATTGTTCCTGTAACAGAAGGTCAATTATCAAGCTAAGAGATGAAATCTACTTGTCGTAGGATTTAAATTAACTATAAGCCAAGATGTCCAATTATGTCCCGAATCAAATGATGATCTAAGAAGCACGGACATACACACATGACACGATATGAACACAACATGGACACACCAAAATGAGAATTTTCAAAAAAATGAAGGACACAACGCGTGGGACACGTGCAAAGGATATAATTTTATATATTTATTATGTCATAGAAGAAAAAATAATTGTTATATACCATGTACATGAATATTTAACTCAAAAATAATAATTTGTAGAGTCTAAAGAAGGAGAACAAGCATAAATTTACATTATTTTGTTTTATCATTGGATTCCAAGTTATTTTATTCAAACTTGTAAGACACGTTATCCTCTTAGAAGTGTATGTGCTTCTTAGATGATGATAATATTGTAATAGTTTTGTTACATACCCCATACGCATTGACTTGTCAATGCACTCCCTGCAAAAGCGGTGCAAGCATTCCATCACAGTTCTTGTTTTCTTGATGATCCCTGCAAAAGGCAAAAGCAAAGTTGCTTACATCTAGTTTATATGTATCATGGATGTTGAGAGGGAAAAAAGGCACAAAGGCCACTAATAAGGAAGTGAGCTGCCAGAGTCCACAAGAAATGCACCAACTAGAGAAATACAATATAGATCGAACAAAAATATAAAAAATATCTCTAACCTCCTCAGAGAAGAATAAAAAGATTTAAATCCCAAGGACAGGCATATGTTCATTATGCCATGGGAAAGGGAAGACGTAAGTTTAGAAACACATGAATCTTCTTCACGTTGCAGGAGGGGAATGAAAGGATCAAGAGGATTTGATGAGTTGACAGACGTGTGTGCAAATTTGTCACATCCTAATCCAGTTTTCATCCTATTTTTATAATTTACTGCAGCCCCATGCTTGTAGTACATGTCTATGTGTTATATCCATGCAACACAGATTCACACTCTTGTTGGCTCATCTTGCGCAACCACAAGGTTAAAAGTAGCTTTTGTCTTTTCACCGGAGCACACACAAATAGTCACCTCTACCACTGAAATTCATTATATTCTGGAAATCCCCCCAGAAGAAGCCAGATTGCTTTATTTGTCTACATTATACGTTAACTATGAAGCACGGACACCTGTTCAGAGGTCGCATATAGGTGTCCAACACATGTCAGACACGCTAGAAAGAGTTGGACACGCTGGGACACTTTGGACAAGTTGCGGACACATTGGGCCATGCTGAGGACACGCTAGGGACCTATGTTACCCAGAACGTAAATTGTTCCGGTAGATGGAATGGAAACGGAAATAGAAACGGGGTAGGCCACATGCTCTAAAATGTGGAATGATAGGAGTAGATTTACATATATTACACTTAAGAATTTAAAGCACTTCTAGAGTAATTTTCTTTTAACTATTAGGTATCCAATTTTTTTTTTTTTCTTCACGTAACAAATCATTTTTATTAAAATTATGATCCATTTTAGATGTGTTTGCCTTGTCAAAACTTAACTCACCTTAGATTTTAGTTCATATATTTGATTTTTTGTCTCCTAAGGTAACATTGAAGGAAATATATTGGGAAAAAAACTTTTGAGATCATTTCGGATTACTAAATTTACAGTTTTGGAACGAAAGTGTATCATATTTCGGAATGTGCGTACCAATACATAATTCGCTAGAGTATTAGTTTTTTTTGGTAACATAGCTAGGGACACGTTGAGTACTATTTTTTTCAAAAAAAAAAATAATAATAATAATAATAATTTATTATTTTTACTAAAATAGCATACCTAAGGCTGATAAATTTGATAAAATTAAATATTTGACATAAAATACATATTAAATATTTTAAAATATACATATAATAAAAATATATGTTTTGAACGTATCCCCAATGTGTTGTGTCCTGTATTTTTTGAAAATTTACATGTCCACGTGTCCGTGTCATATCCGTGTCTTGTCACATGTCTGTGCTTCTTAGTACGTCAATATATACTTATAAAGAAGATAAGTCAAATTGTGATTTCACAATAAAGAACAATATGTGGAATTTAAAGATATAATATAACAACAATTAACAGCATGAACATAAGAAGTCACAACATTTAACTCACTGTTATCTAAGGATGCACTGAGGTGTGATGGTCACTTGGGGACTAGGCATGAGGTGCACTGGAGCGCATGTTATAGATATTCCATAGATTTTTTTTTTATGATTATGAGAAATTCATTGTATACTAATCAATGACATGTATTTTTACATAAGATTATTACCACCCAGTACAGTACATTGTGCTTAATAACATGGATCACATCAATAAATTCAAATGACACAAATTTAAACCAAGCAATTAAACAATTAAAAACAGTTAGGCAATTACAGAATCAAGCAATTAATATTATAACAAATCAACTCATATGAAGAAACTAAAATCAATGGAGTGCACGTGAGGTCATATGATATTTTCCCAACAATAAATACTTGGGCTACAAATTGTTGTTTAACCATTGTCACTATCTATAAGGAAAAATGTAAAACAAAAAAAAAATGGTATGTAAGACTCAAAAAAAAATATATATATATAGGACTGCACAGCGGCAGTGTAGGCACAGCTACACTGTCAGCTTTGTCACTTGTTCCATCAATGAACATTTTACGATTTTACCCCTTCATAGCAATTTAAAAAAATATTTTTTTAGGGACAAATTTGTCATTTTAATTTCAAACATCATTTCAACACATTTTTTAATACAACAACTCAAACAAAATCCATCTCATCTTCCCAAACACAAAAACTAAAATAGCCTACTAAAATAGCCAAAAAGCCAAATAGCCTACTAAAATAGCCACTTCCCAAACGAGGCCAATAAATACTTGGGCTACAAATTGTTGTTTAACCATTGTCACTATCTATAAGGAAAAATGTAAAACAAAAAAAAAATGGTATGTAAGACAAATAAAAAAGCCTTGTAATATATCTTCAATTTGTTGTCTAGGGATCTTCCGACTACCGCAAGAATATGGGTACTAATCGAAACAAGACACTTCTTGTTGAAGAAGTTGAGGAACATGGTGACTATGAGAGTGCTCCAATTTATGATACTTCGGACAATATCGAAATTGGTGGAGACAGTGATGAAGAAGAGGGTTTTGCTCTTATGTTAAAGAAGACGCTTCTATCACTAAAGCTAGGAGCCAAGAAGATTGGTTGCGCACCAATATTTTCTATACCACTTGCAACATTGGTGGACATGTTTGTAACATGATCATTGATAGTGGAAGTTGTGAGAACGTGGTTTCTCAAGAGGTGGTGGCTAAACTCAACATTCCGGTAGAGGACCATCCCTATCTTTATTCTCTATCTTGGTTCAAGAAAGGCAATGAGATCAAGGTAACCAAACGGTGTTTGATTTCTTTTTCTATCCGGAAGAAATATTTCGATGAGGTTTAGTGTGATGTAGTGCCTATGGATGCTTGTCACATTCTACTTGGGCATCCTTGGCAATATGACCAGCAATCTTTGTATGATGGCAAACGGAACACTTACACCATTATCAAGGATGATAGCCATTTTACATTGCTTCCAATGAAGGAGAAGGTTGCTTCTAAGCCATCTTCTAGTTCTACCACCTTGCTTGCTTCCAAGGAATTTTTGGAAGAAACTCGGGATTTTGGGATTATATTGGCTTTGATTCCAGTTGTGCATACGGATGCTACTAAGGAAAAGCTTGACGTGACTACTCTTTTGGAAGAGTATGTCGATGTCTTTCTCCAAGAGCTACCTCCCGATTTGCCTCTTATGCGTGACATCCAACATCGAATTGATTTGGTACTCAGGTCAGCACTTCCAAACAAACTGGCCTATCGCATGTCACCAAAAGAGAAAGAGGAGTTGCAACAAGAAGTAGAAGAGCTTTTGGCTAAATGGTACATCCGGCAGAGCCTTAGTCCTAGTGGTGTTCCGGCCCTTTTGACACCTAAGAAGAATGGATCATGGCACATGTGTGTGGATAGCCGCGCAATCAACAAAATTACCATCAATCAACAAATGTTGCAACCACTTTTAGGTGTTTGTGTAGTGGTTTACTTTGATGGCATCTTGATCTATAGTCGAAGCTTGGAAGAACATTTGTGCCACCTTCGGCAAGTCTTTTAACTTTTGAGGCGAGAAAAGTTCTATGGCAACACCAAGAAGTGTACCTTTGCCATTGATCAAGTCATCTTCTCGGGTTATGTTGTGTCTTCTCGTGGGGTGCTTATGGACATGGAGAAAGTCCAAGGCGATTGTGGATTGGCCTACTCCTAGTATCCATGAAGTGTGGAGTTTTCATGGGTTGGCTACTTTTTATAGGCAGTTTATCAAGAACTTTAGTAGCCCCACTACTCCTTTAACTAACATTCTCAAGCTCAAGACTTTTGAATGGAACAAGGAGGTTGCCGCTAGCTTCCAACTCTTGAAGGAGATGCTTACCGAAGCTCTAATTTTGGCACTACCAGACTTTGACAAAACCTTTGAACTTGATTGTGAGGCTTCGGGATTGGGCATTGATGGCGTCCTTAGCCAAGAAGGGTGGCAAATGGCCTTCTTCAGTGAAAAGTAGTAAGGGGCTAGGCTTAAGTATTCTACTTATGACTTCGAATTTGATGCCATCATCCAAGCCATCAAGCACTGGAGCTACTAGCTTGCTTATAAGAAGTTCGTGCTCAACACTGACCATGAGGCCCTCAAGTACATCAATAGCTAATCCCACCTCAACAAGAGACATGCCAAATGGGTGGCTTACTTGCAACAATTTACATTCTCTTTGCAACATAAATCAGGGGTTCTTAATAAAGTGGCACACGGCTTGAGTAGGTGAACGACTCTTTTGATTGAGATGAAGAATGAAGTTGTGGGTTTTGATGAGTTTAACTCATTCTATGCAAGTGATCCCTACTTCTTCAAGATTTTTGACGCTTTGCAAAGAGGGGATAGGGCTACTTATCCAAGTTACATGATTAGGGATGACTTCCTCTTCCATGGCCTTAAGTTGTGTGTGCCTAGTTGTTCCTTGAGGACAAATTTGTTGATTAAACATCACATATTGGGACATTTTGGCAAAGACAAAACCCTTAGGTTTACTTCAAGATGTTATTATTGGCTAGGCATGACAAAGGATGTGGGCAACCATGTGAAATGATGTCAAATTTGTCAAAGGAGCAAAAGGACTGCAACTAATGCAGGATAATATATGCCTTTACCGGTGCCGAATGGTCCTTGGCAATGCATTAGTATAGACTTTATGTTGGGTTTACCTCCTACACGAAGGAGGAAGTGGTGGACCATTTCTCCAAGATGAGACATTTTATACCTTGCAAGAAGACCATGGATGCTACAGATATTCCTAACCTCTTCTTCAAGGAAGTCTATAAGTTGCATGGGGTGCCTACCTCTATTGTGTCTGATAGAGATACCAAGTTCCTTGCTCACTTTTGGAGAATTTTGTGGAGGAAAATTGGCACCGACTTGAACTTTAGTACTACATTTCATCCTCAAACCGATTACCAAACGAAGGTGGTGAATCGAAGTCTTGGCAACTTGTTGAGGTGTCTTGCGGGAGATCATCTCAAGAGTTGGGATGGTATTATTTCTTTGGCCGAGTTCGCTTACAATTCATTGATCAACCATCCATAAATACTTCTCCCTTTGAAGTAGTTTATGGAATGAAACCTTCAAGTGTTATGAACTTGGTTCCTTCGGCTATCTCAAGGAAGGGAAACGTTAAAGCGGAAGATAGGGCTACACTCATGAAGAATGTGCATGCTCAAGTTACGGCCCAAATTGAAAAGTTCAATGCCAAATACAAATTGGCCATTGATTTGCATAAACGGAAAGTTTGAGGTGGGGGATCTTGTGTGTGTGTGTTGAGCAAAGAAAGGTATCCTCATGGTGCTTACACCAAGTTAAGTGATAGGAAGGTGGGTCCTTTTGAAGTTTTGAACAAATTCAACGACAATGCTTATCAAGTCAAATTGCCGCCTCATTTGGGAATCTCCAATGCCTTTAATGTGCAACACCTTGTGCCTTATTTGCCGGATGATTCTTGTGTCAACACCGCTTCTATCATTGTAGATTAGTTTCCTTTGTGAAATTTGTTTATATTGTACTTTCTAGTTTTGGTTTCACTTCTAGTGCATTAATTGTGCTTTGCTTGTCTTCACTTGAGGACAAGTTCTTTTGAGTGAGAGAGTATGATGTAGGATATCATGTGCATAGCATGTGACAATGGAGGGAAATTGTAGCCTATATCTAGATGAGGCATAATCACTTTGTAACCAACGTTTAGATATTGAACATTGATTGTTTGAGATATTTCTCTCTAAATTCTCTCTCATGTTCTTGATTGGGCCCATCATCACAAGTAATATATTTTTCAATAAATGCGATCAAATAACTTGTTACAAAATCATCTTCTATCCTATTACACAATTTAGTTTAAAAAATATTAATAGTTGGAAATTTATGTTTCAATCAATAAAATAATAATTCTTTTCAATAAGTGAAATTAAATTTTATGAACTCATTTTTAAGAATGCAATGTTGAATGTAAAAATATTTTCATTTCCAAAGAATATTCCATTTTTAGAGAACAAACAAACAAGAATGAATGAAAAATAAGGTGCAGAAGCAAATTAAAGTTTGATTTATAGAAGAAGAAGAAAAAAAAGTATAAATAACATACGAACAGAAAACCAAGAATAGTAACAAACAAGAACAAATAGAAGAATATAAACAACTCTAAATAATACAAAAATATAACAAATAACACAAATAACAAACAAAATGGATTAATATGTAAATAATTAGGAAGTGCAAACCTTTATAATTTTGAGAGTGTGAACTGAAGTACACTAATTTGAAATTACCTTACTAATTACTAGTTGAAGTGGAGGTGGTAGTGGAGTGTAGTAGGTGAAGTGGAGGTGGTAGTGGAGTGTAGTAGGTGAAGTGGAGGTGGTAGTGGAGTGTAGTAGGTGAAGTGGAGGTGGTAGTGGAGTGTAGTAGGTGAAGTGGAGGTGGTAGTGGAGTGTAGTAGGTGAAGTGGAGGTGGTAGTGGAGTGTAGTAGGTGAAGTGGAGGTGGTAGTGGAGTGTAGTAGGTGAAGTGGAGGTGGTAGTGGAGTGTAGTAGGTGAAGTGGAGGTGGTAGTGGAGTGTAGTAGGTGAAGTGGAGGTGGTAGTGGAGTGTAGTAGGTGAAGTGGAGGTGGTAGTGGAGTGTAGTAGGTGAAGTGGAGGTGGTAGTGGAGTGTAGTAGGTGAAGTGGAGGTGGTAGTGGAGTGTAGTAGGTGAAGTGGAGGTGGTAGTGGAGTGTAGTAGGTGAAGTGGAGGTGGTAGTGGAGTGTAGTAGGTGAAGTGGAGGTGGTAGTGGAGTGTAGTAGGTGAAGTGGAGGTGGTAGTGGAGTGTAGTAGGTGAAGTGGAGGTGGTAGTGGAGTGTAGTAGGTGAAGTGGAGGTGGTAGTGGAGTGTAGTAGGTGAAGTGGAGGTGGTAGTGGAGTGTAGTAGGTGAAGTGGAGGTGGTAGTGGAGTGTAGTAGGTGAAGTGGAGGTGGTAGTGGAGTGTAGTAGGTGAAGTGGAGGTGGTAGTGGAGTGTAGTAGGTGAAGTGGAGGTGGTAGTGGAGTGTAGTAGGTGAAGTGGAGGTGGTAGTGGAGTGTAGTAGGTAAGGTAAATTCTAACACAGTGTATAACCTAAGTAGCACATACATGGACACGATATGGACACGATGATACATCGATTTTTAAAAAAGTGCAAGACATGGCATGCGTGGGATATCTTAAAATTTTATATTTTTACAACCTATTAAAATATGTAACATAACACTAATTATATTAAAAGGCTATATAATTCATATATTAAACATCAAGATATCATTCACGTAACAATTACATTATAAATAATGCAGAACGATTATAGAACATTTTAATGCACATGATGTATTCCCCTTATAAATGTTTTAAAACATGATTAAAGTGTGCATGATGTGTTCACCTTATAAATGTTTTAAAACATAATTAAAGTGCATAAGTTATGTTTTGAAGATTGCAAAATGTGGTTATTATGAAGGAATTCATCACATGGGACGTGTTCAGAGGGTCCACGAAGTGTCGCCTAAGTGTTCATAAAGTGTCAGTAAAGTGTCTGATATTATAAATTTTATTTTTAAATTAAGACACGTTGAAGAAATGTCAAGCACAACTTTTAGAGTGTCTAAAGAGTGTCGGACACGACACGCTTCCTCCTCAGAAGTGTCTGTGCTTCTTAGTGTATAAGTTTACAAATCATATTTATGGAACCAAAAGTTTTACATTACAATGTGCAAAAACATTTTCAGTTCTCACATTCTAGCAAAAGTTTCAAAACAAGTGCCTAGACATTTTGGACATAAATACTGATGTTTAAATTAAGATGCAGAAAAGATTTGCAAACAGCATCCTAGACAAAGGATTGAAACAGTAGAAAAGCATAACAACTATACCTAGACATATTGGACATTGTACGTATGTACGAAGTGCTGGTAGTTCCACAAGAACCCATCTGTAAAAAGACGAAATTAATAAATAATACCCAATCAACAAAAAAATCACATTGGTCAACATGATCAGCCATCATTCAAGCCCATTTGTAAAAAGACAGTTAATAAATAATACCCAATCGACAATAAAATTGACATTGATCAACAAGATCAGCCATCATTCAAGCTCTTGGGAAAAAAGAGAAACAAAAGGTGAAGTGCAGTTGCACCTCTGTGTCAAAATTGCTTAATTGGACACACTAGACCTTGGAAGAAAAGAGAAAACAAGATACTGAGTTCGTACATGTTAGACACCGCATTAATTTGGTAGTAATTTGACTACGTTTCAGATTTTTTACTAAGACAATATAGACTTAAGTCAATAATTGCAGTACTTGTTATGAAACTACCAGTTACTCTTGTTTTATAGCCATCGTCACCATATAACAAAAGATAAGAGTTCTTAGCATGAACATACCTCATCCAGCTTTAGGATACTAGGATGATCCCACCTACAAGTTTACAATTGATCATGTGGTGGTTTAGATCAAGCTAGATTATAGATTTAGGTTTTTGCAAGGCATAAGGAATGTTATAAGCTTTCTTGATGGGAACGGGTTGCAATTGGCTTGGTTTCCAAAGAGAAGAAGAAGAAGATTCTACAGGATTTCATCTTACAAAGTTTAAGCAGAATGGCACAAACTTGATCTTTCCCATCATCGTATTTGGGCCTGCTGTTGGATTCCTCAAAACCTGGGCAGTGTAGGATCTTGTTGTAAATAGATTTTAGAGGAGATTGGCAAGATGCAAATGTTAATACCTCTTAAAAAGGGGTAAACTAACTCTAGTCAAGGAGTACTTAACCTAGCTTGCCTACAAATTTTATGTGTCCGTTTGTCATTCTTTCATTTGTTGTTAAAAAATTGGAAAGACTCTGAGGGATTTGTTGTAGGGAATAACAGAAGAATTCAAGTATCATTTGGAAGAATGGGACACACTTTGTTCGCGGAGATGGGTTGAGTGTTTGGAAGTTAAATGTTTCTAACGAAACTTCATTGGAGAAGTGGTTGTGGAGCTAGAAAAAGTGTGTGCGCTGTGTGTGTGTGTGTGTGTGTGTGTGTGTGTGTGAGAGAGAGAGAGAGGGAGAGAGAGAGAGAGAGAGAGAGAGAGAGGATGGAAAAGAGTGGTATCCTTTAAGTATGGGCGTGATTGGGGGAGTTGATGTCACGCCCCCAGATTTTTAAGATTAGTTAGGCATAATCTAATTAACCTAAATGAGATAATAAATATATGATTTTCATTGAATAGTAATTCTTGAAAGAAAAGTGCCATTTTGATTGATGGTTCCGGAGACCAGATGATTTTCCTGTAGAAAACGAAGTGAATAATTCAATTTGAGAGAAATAATTAAAAAAAAATGCTGAAAAATCCTTTGTGATCCATTTTGAGAGATTTACAAGTTTAAAAATAAGATTGCTCCTATTTTCCTTTATAAAATATCACATAGTAACTCTCTCACCTCTGCATCAAATGTTTAACCATCTCAACTCATGCATGGCATACAAACATAAAGAGCTGCAAATTTAGCTACCATAGAGTTACGTTTACAGACCAAGGTTATAGAGCATCTTACAAATCATCAAAACGGACGAGAGCGAACTACCTAAGGTCTCTACATAGTCAACAAGGAGTTTCAAAATATCGCATATGCATGGGTCATCAGGCTAGCTATGCATACATTATTACACATTTAACTCTTTAAAACCAACAGTTATCCTCCCTTTACATTTTTCTCATTTTACAATTTTTTTTCTCTCATTAAATCCATTCAAGCATCACTTTCAAAATATAGGATTTCAAATCAAGAAAATAGTACTTCTTTGTGATCCATTTCGAGAGATTTTCAAGTTTAAAAATAATTTCCTTTACAAAATATACATAGTAACTCTGTCACTTTTGCGACAAATGTTTAACCATCCCATTTTATGCCAAACATAATGTCAAATTTTTTTAACAAATAAAATGAATTACACATATAATTTCAAACCTTAATTTGCAATCCATTAAAATGTATAAAATAAAAAATAATCATTATAAGCAAATATTCCTACGGATCAAACAAAGTGAATAGTTTTTAAGTACATATCTACTTAGTCATCTATCAAAGTGATACTTGACATTTGTATCTAGAACAAATGCAAAATAAACCATAATAATAAAAGAATAAACAATTTTATCTAGAACAAATGCAAAATAAATCACAATAATAAAAGTAGAAACAACAAAATAGAAGTCCCAATTTAAAACGTATCTCAATTTAATCAAAACCCATTACCTCCATCTCAAAAAATATAACCCATAAAAATTAATGACCATAAATTAAAGGGAAGCAATACTTGGAATTAGTTCATGCCATAAAGAATAATAATTGTGAATTGAGAATAAAGGGGCAGTGCAATTTTGGGAAAGGATTAGAGGCATAGAACAATTTTAGATATTTTTTGTTCCTTCATTTGTTTGCGCACAAGAGAGAGAGAGAGAGAGAGAGAGAGAATAATTTTTTTTCCCAACAAAGTGAGAAAAGGACAGGGTGCTGGGAGGTTATTATATGTGCTAGGTAGTGGAAAGAAACATAAAGAGACAATGGGGAAAGTTTAGATGTGTTGGAATTGCTCGTAATTAGTTCAAGCCATAGAGAATAATAATTGCGAATTGAGAATAAAGTGGCAATGCAATTTTGGAAAAGGATCAGAGGCGTGGAATAATTTTAGATATTGTTTGTTCCATCATTTGTTCACAGGAGAGAGAAAGAGAAGGTATTTTTTTTCCCAAGAGTGAGAAAAGTAGAGGGTAGGAGGTTATTATATATGTTGGATAGCGGAGAGTGAGGGAAGTTTAGATGTGCTGAAAGTTTCCTAGCCACAAATTAAAACTTTTGTTAACAAAAAAATAAAAATAAGAACTTTTTTCTAAAACTAATATTAATGTGTTTACTATCAAGAGCCTTAACTATTATAACTGTGAAAACTGAACTCTCTGGCAAGTCATATATACATGGGTTCCCCAGAATGTGGGAGGGGCCATGGCCAACCTAGTCCAAGCCATGGTTCTGTCCCTGTGTTATGTAGAGAGGTGCTCTATTGGGAATTGGTTAAGGTGATGAGGCTCATGGACAGGTTGTACAAGGTATCCATTATTGGGGATGGCCAGGACTTGCTAAGATAGAATCTTTCTAGATCAAGTTGCTTTCAAGTGAAATCCTTTTATGAGGTTGTGTTTTGGTGACACATTTCTTCATTTCCAGGGTGAGCGATTTGGGAATCCAAGGCTATCCCAAATGTGGCAATTTTTGCTTGGTGTGTAACTCATGGTCAGATTCTTGCCATTAATAATCTATCCAATGAATGTAAATGATACAAATTATTGTTGTATGTGCAAACAGGAAGTTTAATGTGTCAGAATAGGCATGTGTGGAATTTGTTTGACCAGATACGCTATAGGCAAACAAAAAGAGTTTACGGGTGAGCATAATGTACATATTCTAAAAATGTCATTAAAGGAAAAATAACAAATAGGGATTGCAAACAATTTAACAAACACGTCATCAGAAATCATTGAACTCAACAAAATGTGGCCTTGTCCCAACCATTAGGGATCATCTACAAGATTCTCTTATCTACATGAAAAATCTTGTATCACCAAGCAGGCAAAAAGCCAAGCCCAGTGCAACAGGCAAGGACATTTTATTCATTAACTCACCAGAAGGAAAGATGTGACTTTCACAAGTTTGATTGTTCTTTTGTCATCAAATGGAAAGTTAGCACGTAGGGATTTTCTGGTATTCCGTGAAAGATGCCTAAGGATATTGCATGGCAACATTGCAAAAGAGTTCGTTACAACTATTTAAAACTTATTCAAATACCACATGAAGATGGGAAATCAAAATTGTGAAGATGGGAAATCATAAATTTACATTTAACAGAATCTTACAAACTGGCCCCAACAATTATATTTTAAAATTAGGGGAAATTATAAATCAGTGCACATGACCAAACACATGGGGTTGCCCTCTTTCTGCGTAAAAGTTGCACCCAAGAAGATTCTCACCCTATAGTAAATATCTGCCCCACTTCCGCTGAATAGTAACTTCCCTTAAAATTATAGCCATACAACCTCTCATGCATTAAATCAAGCACAATGGAAAGGGCAAAGCAAGGCCGAAATCAACTTCATTCACCCAATAAACCAAAATTATCCAAACACATTCATCGATCCCTGAGGAAAACCAGCAGTAGTCAATTCAATTTATTGCTATATTCCATACATACACATCAGTGCTCAGAAATGATCATAAGAAAAGCAAAATCTAGCAGTAGCAATTAAGATATCAGAGACATTGAACATATAGAAAGACATTCAATCTGACCACTAATCAAACAAGAAAGCAAAGCAAAAATCAAAATGAAGCACATCCAAACATATATATATATATATAGAGAGAGAGAGAGAGAGAGAGAATACTCGGATTGGTTTGCAGTGTCGTCAGAAGAACAACTTCCATCAGAATCTGAGAAGTATCAATTGAAACCATAAACGATCGTCAATCAAAAACAAATTCATATATATCGAGCGTGAAGAGATAAACAAACAAGATACGATACGTTACCCTCATCTTCAGAGTCTTCGACCTCTTCTTTCACTTGTTGTTCTTCTTCATCTTGTCCGTCGTCTCGCTCATCTTCATCATCATCTTCAGCTCCTCGTTGGCGTCGCGATTGCTTGCGACGGGAGGGCTGTTGCTGAGAGGAGTCGTCGTGGTGAGCAAGATTATTATCTGAAGACGAATTACGCTTCTGTGAAGGCATTGATGATTTGTTCGACTTCTGGGCTCTGTCTGTGTAGAGCGAGAGAAAGACGAGAGAGAGAGAGAGAGAGAGGAGGCGGAGCAGAGAAGAAAAGAAAGGAGAAGAGGAGGAAGAGGACGTGTACTGCTGTCACAGCAGGGTCCTGTGGTGTCGCAATGTGGATTTTTCGGACTCTTTTTCGTATGGTAAAAAAATAAACAAATAAATTGATTATACGAGTATTGTAGTGGGACCCTGTTTGTTTGTTTGTTTTTTTTTTTTTTTTTTTTTTTTTTTTTTTTTTATTCATACATTCTGTCTGCTAGGTCGTTAAGGTCTGCTGCTCAGAGTTGGTCGTAAAAGTCATCCCCATCTCCATGGGTGGTTCATCATACCATTCTTGATCATTCTCTCCCATCACCGGTGATTCATGAGAGACGCCATGCTGATAGTTTGGGTATTAACTTTCATCGACAAATGTCTCTTTACTGAATGGATATCCTGGAATGGCTAAATTACAATGTATCTTCTGATGTCTATCTTCACAGACTAGATGTCCATAATTTCCATTATAGGCTAAGAGAGAGTTGCTAGCAAATTTTCTCCATTTATTGAGCTGGTCTTTGAGTGAAAATCTTCTGCATGGCCAGGGTCTCCTATTGAGAAGTCCTGGGTATCCTGGGAATGTAGAGGTTCCTCTGAGGTACATTTGTGTTTAGCTGGGTTGCACCATATTCCCTTCCACTCTGGTAGTTTGCTATCTATCAAAGCTTCCACATAAGGATATGTTCTTCCATTACGCACAGTACTGCATGAGCAAGCTTGTGTCCAAAGTTATCTGTCTGATCTGGATCTGTGAAAATTAGTCTAGAGACAAAGCCGTAATCTAACAATTTTGGGGCTGTTAGATAACGAGTTTCGCCCTTAATTTCTATCTCCAACGACTCGAATGTAGCTAAATTTATCTGGCAAAGGCAAATGCTGAAGTCTAGGTTACACTGACATCTACCAAAATGTTCTGACCTTTTATTGCATTTTTCTTCGTCTAAGCAGGGTTGCTCTTCATCTTCATAGGTATAGGTCCATTGATAAGCTAGGCCTGGGCAGTCAACTCTTGCTATGGAGAGATCTTGAAGAAATTGCTGAATAATGACTAACTCATTATTTCTGCTATCTCCGGCTAAGGTATAAATATAGGGTTTTAGGTCTTCCATTACTTGGCTTCTCTCACAAAAGGATCGAATGATAGACTTCCTGAAGAAATACATTCTAGCACTCAATTGGTCAAATTCCTCACTAATGAGTTGTTTGATTTCTGGGCTAGGTAAGGAGGTAGGTGTTCTTTCTGGAGCTAATTTTTTAAGCTGGTTGGTTAGGGTTCGAACGGTTGCTCTCAATTATTTTTCTTCGTCTCGGAGCTGGTCTAGCTCTTCACTGACCTTCTTGCCTTTATCCATAATTTTCTTGAAATTTCTGGAAAGGCCTTCACAATGTCTGCACATTTGGAGAGGATTCTGAGAATCTATCTGAGGATTAGAACTATTGCTGCCTATACTACTGCTTCCAATTGTCTGGCTAACTGGAACTCCACTGGTAGCAAGGATGGTAGATCTCATCTTGCTCAATGTGTCCAGGTAATCTTTAGCTATCTGGCTAATAAAGTAGCTGGTTCCTATTTGTCTTCGGGCATAGGTACTGGCTGACTCAAAATCATAAAATCTTTTAAACTGAGGTGTGGGAAAATATTTGACTAAAGGTTCTACTTCTGTCCAATCATGGTAAATACCAGGCTTGGTTCCTTTAGCTACTACATAGAAAGAAAAACTTTTAGACAAGGGCTTGTTTTGGATTTTTGAAAAATATATACTGAGAGAGTTTAGGGCTGAAAGGCGCTTAGCTGGGTGGTTTTGACTGGTCCAAAGGTTATCTAAAAGACACTGTTGAACTGGGTCTAACTCAATCCCTGTTAAAGGTCTGAACTTGGTTCTGCCTTCATGAATGGGAAGAGAAAATCCCCCAAAGTTCATGGTCTTGCTGTTTTCCATTATCTGCACAAAAATTAAACTGGTTATCTTCTTTTTCTAAATAAATTTTTCTACTTAACCAGTCTGTTAATCTATTATCACTTTCTTTAATATGCTCAAATTCTACTTTATATTCTTGTCCTACTATACAATCTAAAAATTTTGCCCATCTTCTAGTACTTAATTTACGCTCGTTTAGTTTGTTATGAAATCTAACTATGGCTTCACAATCTGTCCTTATTGTAAAAGGTTTGTGCAAAAATAATCTAAATTTATTTATTGCGTATACTACTCCTATTATTTCAAAATCTAGGCTGGTCACAGTTGTATCTTTTTCTTTAAATTTTTCAGAACTGTATCTACAAATGCGTTCTTTATTTTTACTGTCATATTTACTAGGTTTAGCTAATAATATTGTTCCCCATCCTAATTGACTTGCGTCTATTTCTACAACTATGTATTCTGATTCTAAGGGAAGTTGTAGGTCTGGTAGATTTTTACAAATGTCTTTTATTTTTCTAACTAGAGCTATATCTTGCTGATTGAAATATTTATGTCCTGTGGGTGTGGTCTTACTATAAAGGGGTCCTATTATTTTACTAAGGTTAGGAATATACATTCGTGCATAATTTAAAATTCCTAAAGAAGATTGAAATTGTTTTGTATCTTCTAATTTATTTGGATAGTCTAAAATTTTTTTGACTATATGAGGTTGTAACCTAATTTTTCCATCTCCTAGCTCCATTCCTAAAAATTCTATGTAGGGTTTATTTAATACCATCTTTTTCTTGCTGATTATTATTTCATTATTTATGAATTCTTCTAATGTTATATACAAATGATCTATGTGACTATTTTTATCTGGACTGAACACTAATATGTCATCTATATATACCAGTATAAAACTATATTTATTAAATATACTATCTATTTTACGCTGAAATATGGAAGGTGCATTTTTTAATCCAAATGGCATAACTAGCCACTCATAATGTCCTTGAGGGCAACAGAAGGCTGTCCATGGTATGCTTTCCTTTTCCATTTTTATCTGCCAAAATCCTGACTTACAATCAAATTTGCTAAATATCTTTGCTGTCTGTATTCTATTTATGAGTTGGTCTTTATCTGGTATATTATATTTATCATCTTCTGTATTATCATTTAATCTTTTATAATTTATCACCATTCTAGATTTTCATCTTTTTATCTCTGCATGATTTCTAACCATAAATGCTGCGCTCCTGTGCGGACTATTGCTGGGTCTAATTACTCCTAGATCTAGTAATTCCTTAATCTGTGTTCTAAATTCTTCTATGTCTGCTGGTGTATGATCTATTTGTGCTGAGGTAATCCTATAATCTTTATTTTTTATATCTAGACTAGCTAAGATTTTATTTCTTTCCCAATATTTCATGGGCTGTTCTCCTAAAATTTATGTTGTTTCAGCTAATCTTATTATCTCATTTAAATCATTTTCGGTTCTCTTGCATATTGGTTTTTTCTTTATTTTTCCTATTTTTGCAAAAATTAATTCTAAATTAGCTGGTTGTTTAAAATCTTCTAGGTTCCAATAATCTTCCTTATTTTCAAAATCAAATTCTTCTAAATCATAATTTTCTGTATCTAAATTTTCTAAAGACGTATTTGCTATCTCATTAGGTATATATTTTTGGGCTAGGTCGGGAAAAATATTTCTACTTGGAAATAAAAAACTAGCGGGAACTGAATATACTCCTATGGTACCACCACGCTTCGCACGCAACTCTGAGGAATGGGCGATGGTGCCAAGGGCATAAGCTGTTGGGGTATGTACAGTTCGCTTGAAGAAACTAATGTTGTGTTGACTGAGTAACATGCCACCTTATAAGCTGAGGATGAAATTAAGTCCTAAAATGAAAGGATGATTCTGTCGGGTATTTCCAATCCAAACCTGAGGCAAAGGAAACCATTCTATATGCTGATCTTGAGAACCTAGATGATGAAAACTAATCTGTGCTCCATTGATGCAATGTGTGTATATCTGTTTAGTGCCGTCGGCTATACTAACTAAAGCTGGGGTTGTTAAAGTTGTGCTCCATCTTGGGGGAACTACTTGTTGTTCAATATATGATTTACTAGCTCCTGTATCTATCATGGCATCTATACTGAGGGTTTTTGCTGCAAACTTGATTACACATGAGATCTCAACTAGATTTGGTTTAGGTATAACTGGATAATTGAATGGTAAAGATGTAGTATCTGGTTGGGCTTTAGAGTATTGACTAAAGGGTTGAGAATCAACTAAGTTGACTAATTCTAATGAATTCATATGTTCTTCAATCAGTTTGTCTTTTAAAGGGTACTTATTGTGAAATTGTTCTAATTGCTGTTTAAGCTGTCTATTCTCTAATTCCAAACATTCTATGTTAAAACTAGTCTTAATTTCTATCTCGTGTATTTGTATCTTAAGTTCTCTAGTTCTAAGATGGCCAGTAATTCGAGATTACCAAAAGCCAACTTACGAGGATTCATACAATCAGAGTATACATATGGGGCCTACATGTGCGGAAGCAATAAATTTAAATCTAAATAGTCCATAAGAGCTGTGCATAGATCAAATGAAATGACGTACATTTTAACATGGTTTTACAACTTGAATACAAATAAAATAAAATGCATGTTACATCTTGATGAAAAGGCTTCTCAAGCCGACATATACAAAAGACATGAAATACAAAGCTAAGAAGCATAATCTTCAAGGTGCTAGCAAAATATGAAACCGAACACAACTTGTAAAAAACATCTAGGCGTCACCGCCTTCTTGCTCGTCACCTACATATATATAAGGAGAGGGTGAGCTTGGATACTCAGTGAATGATATTAGTAACAAAGGTTTGAATGAATGTTATCTGAGATCTTTATCAAAATAATACATATCATAGCTTGTACAAAATCAAGGGATGAACCAAGTCCATCTATCAAGTCTTTTAAAGCTTCAAGGGATGCTTACTAGCATCAATATAATACAAGGGATGACATTCCTGACAAAATAAGGGAATAATCGACCCGGAATCGATTAGACAAACCCACCCGTACAAGACCATTGGTGGCAAGGGAGATATCTCAAACAAGGGTACTAGTTGCATTATAGTCCCCTAGCA